CACACACACACACACACACACACACACACACACACACACACACACACACACACACACACACACCACTTGGGAGAGCCATACCCCGTTGAGCCAGAAGAGCCCAAACGCCCATCTGCAAAAAAGCACAAATACACTCTCCTACTTCGCTAAGCTCCAGCGTAAGAAAGTGTTGACTGCATCCTTCAGGACATCTGTTAAAATTGGAACGATACAGAGAATGAAGATTGGCATGGCCCCTGCACAAGGATGGCACGCTTTTACCAACAAATGGCCCAAAATTCTCCAAAAAAAAAAAAAAAAAAAAAAAAAAAAAAAAAAAAAAAAAGGTGTCGACTGGCAAGGAGACACAGACGTACGGAATCTAAAGCTGACAGAGTACGCAGCTGCCCCTAGCGGAAAACCTGGAACAGAACCAGGGAAAGCTTGCCGTGTCAGACAGGTTTCACCAGTCTGACAACATGAGCCATAACTTGCTAACGGCTGTGTTGTCTCTGTGAACCCCTCATGCATACCAGAGGTGATGTTTGTTGCCCAAAGTGTCCAGGGTCTCTGCCTCTCTGCATTCCGAAAAGCCTGCACGCTTTGGGCCCAAACAAGGTCAGTATATGCCGTACAGGTGTGCAGAGTGTGCACGTGTGTGCTGTACAACAGACTCCAAATATTAAATCTCGAATCCATCTAAAAGCCAAAAGAAAAAAAAACAGACAAAATGGGTACGAGGGTTGCCACACCCGTTTGGTTGAGTATGTGCGTTATCAGAAACCGCACACCTGTGTGCCTGTCTACTGTGGACTGTCACTTGAAGAACCCCTAAGTGTTTTGTCAGACATTCATTAACCCAATCTCAAGAACAGAAAGGTTATTGAAAGTGAGAGGCTGCCCACCTTCGAGTGGTTGGACAGGAAGTACCCAAACACCTGTTCGGCGTTTGCTAGACCAACACTGCGTCGTAAAAAAGGAAAATTTGACATTGCACAGTAAAAGACCAACATTGCCCAGACACTTCTTCAACCCATCTGAAACCACCAAGGAGAGTACCAAGAAGAAGCTGCAGCAGAACATATGGCAGCTCTTTGTCCAAAATCCACACAAAGACCATCAGACAAATACAAAACCACAACCCCCCAGAGTCAGGAAATGTCCAGGCAACACTAGCTTCTTTTTTTTCTTCTTTTTTTTTTTTTCTTTTTTTTCCCTTTTTTTTTCCCCTACTGTGTGGAGCACCCTGGTCTCCACAATCGTATGCTCTGCAAAAGCAGCCCATGGGAATGATTACACCCACATCAGAGCCAGAACTAGCTCATCCCCAATTTCATGGCACAGCATCACCGACAGCACCAAGCACACAAGAAAGATTCGTCAATTTCATGGCACAGGAGCACCAACAGCACCAAGCAACACACCCTGGGCAGGATTTTCGTTTAAACCACCAGTACCTACCGCATTTTTCGTACCCCCGACCTCTATTCAATTTGGACCAGAGGGGCACGCCGATTCAGCTTCGGCGTTAACGGCCGCCCCAACCGGTAAGTACTGGTGGTATAACCTTCTGAATACCCTGCACCATTGCGGGGCTTCAACAGTGTTTGTCCACAGGGATGATTACCAAGCGTAAGAACATCCGATCGGACTACCGGCAATACCAGACAAACAAAAACACAATCTGCCAGATGTGTGATGCGGGAAGCTCTACCGGCTGAGGGCTGACTACTCGTTCACACTTACCGATTCCATGAGAGTTCTTGTAAAGTAGCTGCTTCTGAAAAAGATTGGCCGCAGCTCTCGCACCTCCAAGGACCAGGCCATAGAGATCCGCCAGCTTCACAACCTCCCCCTGCAATGTCATATAATGACCTCCTGGCTTGAGCATCTCTACTCCAGCCTCTTCGGTCTCCTCCATCCCGATAGTGTCTAGCACAGCATCGAACTGACCCTTGAACTGGTGCTTCAAGTCCTCCGACTGAAACAAATTGTGAAAAGCAGGCATCAACATGCAATCCACAGTCATAACCATGCATCCAGCCTAAAGCAAGTCCTCCGACTGAAACAAATTGTGAAACGCTCTCTCTCTCTCATACATGCCCAGTTGGGCAATGTATACAGAGCCAAGGATCCGCAAAGTGATTAAAAGGACTCGAATGGACAATGCAGTTTCAGCAAAGCATCAATAAGCAATGTACATCCAGATACATATGAAAATAGCACAATGTAGCACAATGTAGCGCAGCGGAAGACTCAAATATATGACCTGACCTATCAGAGACTGACGCGGCGTCCCATCATACACCACACATGTGAGAGGAGGAGGAGGGACCTCATACACAGAAGGAAGTTCCTCTTTGTACACGCACATGGGGGAGATACCACGGATGAGAGATGGGGGGAGAGGCGAGACGAAGATGGTGGCGAGGGAGAACACCAAGATCGCAATAGCGAAGTCCAAAAGTAGTATCCCTGCCCGTAACCTCTCTCTCTCTCTCTGAAGAAGAAGAAGAAGAAGAAGAAGAAGGAGGAGGAGGAGGGAGGAGAGATGGAGACGACGAAGAAGAAGATGTCGTCCTCCTCTCGGTCTCACCTGCAGGTATCCGCTGCCATCTACTGACCGGCATCGTCGTTGTCATGTGCAGGTCGCCGGCGTGGAGCCCAGCTACAGCGCCAGGTAAGTCTGCTGCTGCAGGTATGGCCACCGCCTCATCTCCTACCTACACCTCTACTCTAACACAGCGCTGTTGCACTGCTCCAGCAGCGTGTCTCCCAAGAAGTGACCTACTCGAACTGTGTCTGCCCTGGCCGTGGCCCAACTATATGTAGTGCTGGGCCGGCCGGTTTGCCTCCGTGTGCCTCTGGTCCTGCCCAAAAACGTGGACCTCTCAGGTCTGGGTCCTGACCGAACGACCAGACCCTGCACCTGGCCCAGAAGGGCCTGCCGCCTGGTGAACCCAGCCCAAGGCGAGGCCTTGGGGACTGCAGGTCCGAAACGACGCCTGAACAGACAGAAATAGGACAGCAAATAAAGAAAGAAAGAAAGAAATGAATGCTGTCTCAAATCGATACCTGCGGCCTGAGTGCCACCCTGGACCTCCAGGGCGTGCGTCCGAAGGGTGTGCAGCCTGGGGAACCCTCAGAACCGTCGGGCCCATGAAATGGGGCCTGTGTGCAGGCTCAGCATGTAACACTTTTTTTTTCTCTCTCTCTCTCTCTCTCTCTCTCTCTCTCTCTCTCTCTCTCTCTCTCTCTCTCTCTCTCTCTCTCTCTCTCTGTATATATATATCGTCAAACAGAACTGCCCGGCAAACAGTAGGCAGAGGGAGAAGAGGACAAGAAATGAGGGGCTGTAACAAACTGTTTCGTCGGAGTTTCACCGACTCATATATATATTGTCAAACATATATATACATATATTGTCACATAGCTATGAGTGCAAGGACGATGATTGAAAGCGAGAAGCAGAAATCCAAATTGCAATCACATGAAAATAGCCAAGAGTCTCATAAAGAACAAGCGAGCAGAAATGCACTTGAGATCACCAACGTACAGTACAACGATGAACAGTATCGACAATGTAGTCCTTTTCCATCATCAGCAGCACGTCAGAGTTATACTCCCATCTACCGCACAGCGCCCAGCCTACTCCTAGCTCATCTACTCTTAGCCTGAAAACCAGCCAAATCAGCACTGAGGTCGGAGCACTCGGAGCACATGAAGAATGTCGTCCAAATGCAGACCCCCGCACGCCTCCCAATGACCTCAGTCTTTCCCTCTCACTCTCTTCTTCATCCCTCGACTTCCCACAGCTCACTACCACCGAAGGTCGACTATAACCACCACCATCAGTGTTGGGCAGAGCGCCTGGCTATGCCACCTGCCTCCCCTCTCACCCAGCAGCTACCACAGCAGCCGCTCACCCAGCACACCCAGCAGCTACCACAGCAGCCGCTCACCCAGCACTACCGCACACGCACGCGAGCGCTAGCCAGCCAGAGTGCGACTTGCAGCATGACCGCATCGACTGCCAGCAGCCCGAATGCCCTCCAGTCAGCCCTGCTGAGTGCTACCTAGACCGGTCCCGGTTGGGGTCAATGCGTGCGGCCCAAGCATCCAGCATGCAGGCCCAGTTTCAAGCTGCTTCCAGGGCCTGGTACCGACAGTTAGGTTCAGTCAACTGTGGCTTTGGACGTCATGCTCACAAGCACCCAACATTACGCGCACAACCAACTGGGGTCTGATATCTGTCTGGCGCCCCCCAAATTCTCAGAGTGGCCTCGTCCAGGCAGATAATGGAAATTGACAGGCCCGCCTTCACTTAGGGCGGCCTGGAGCTGTCTTTGGGGTCCTTGTTTTTGCTGCTGAGGGGCCTGGCCCTCGCATGAACTAAAAGAGCGCACTTTGCGAAGGAAGGATAAAAAAAACAAAAAACAAGGGCACATTGAAACCATTCAATTTCTCATTCTTCTTCTAATTCCCCCTACACTGTGCCTCTCACGTACAAGGCTCGCCACGTTGATGGAGTTGAGCGCGAGCTGCCCCCATCCCCGTGTGCCATAGCAGCCCACTTGTACGCTGTGAGAAAGAGGCAGAGTAAAGGGGGAGGGGATAGACACAGGGAAGAGAGATGGAGAGAAGACACATATATGTATATATGTATCGTCAAACAGAGCTGCCCGGGAGAAGAGGACAACAAACGAGGGGCTGTGACAAACTGTTTCGTCAGAGTTTCACCGACTCATCAGGAGGCTGAACCCTCAACAGTCTGCAGAATCCCCTAGCTGATTACACTAAGTAATAATTCACCTTAACCCCGGCTGTGGTTAATCATCGACGACTGCCCGACAACTGGTACCCTGACAGACCTTTCTCTTTGTTTCGTGTGTGTTTTGCTGGCTTGTGATGGGGTGTGAACCGACAGTCCGTCGAGTTTTCCATCCGGTGTGGGTGAGTGATAGCCTTTTGGGGGGGGAGTCCATAACCTCCAATAACCCCGCCAACACCCCCATACACCCCCCAACACCACCATACACCCCCCCAACACCCTCATAACCCCCCAATACCCCCTATACCACCACTGCACCCCCCAAAACCTCCCCTGTACCATCCCCCACAAACCCCCCCTACACCCCCCCTACACCCCCCCTACACCCCCCGGTGCCCCACCCATCCCCAGAAGTTTCTCAGCGGATTTGGTCTGTACTCAGCAAGCGCAGTACAGCCCCATAGAAAGACTTTAAAAAAAACACAGTAAATGGCTATTTTCTGACTTGTCGGCAGACTGCCGACAGGTCGTCCCAACCGGTAGGCTCCAAAACGGTCCGCGGTCAGGGTAGGCTGTCAGTGGGTATGCAACCCTGCCTTTACCCAAAAAAAAAGGTAAAAAAAAGTAGACTATCACCTACTGCAACAAACTCAGTTCAGATCCTCACAATCAACGGCAGGATCGTAACTTTTGGTCAACGGCTTGATTCAGCGGTCAAAAGTCGCGTCCCAAGAAATGTCTCAGAAGGGTCCTAGGGTCAAGAGGTCTGAGGAGACTGGGTTCATTACACCTACCCACACCACATGCACGGCTCTGCAGACTGTCAACGTCACCCCCAACAGCCAAAAAAAAAATCCCAACAACACAAAGGCAGGTCTATATGACACTGTTTTCCACATATTGTCATGGATTGTTAACATACTAATAATTCATCAAGAGCAGAATCACAAAACAAATTTGGAAAACAGCGGAAAACAGGTTTTGCTTTCTGAGTGTGGAAAACAGCGCCATTTTCTGCAGTGGAAAAGGAGAACAAGGGATCGAAAGACGAACAAGGGAAGGCAGCACACAAGGTTTTGCTTTCCTTTTTCTCTTTTTCTCTTCCTTCCCCCCCACCCCCCTTTTACCTTGCAAATTTCTGTTTGAAATGTGGGGTTCCGATGTTTACATGGTTGAGCAGCAGGAATTGCCAGCAAACCTGTCTGCGACAACAGCACCCTTGCAGCCTGTGGAGTATAGGACGTATGATGAACGAAGAAGAGGCAGCAGAAGAGTCCACGATTAGGCGAGACCCTAGACAACAAAGGGTGCAAGCGAAATAAAGATTATATGGATGACGACAGGGGAAAACGGGAAAGAGGATTCTCCGGTGGCAAGAGTCATTGCAACAACTGGCAGTGACCATACCCACAGAGCAATCATGATAAGTAGCACGTCGATCAAAGGCCCACGAGGAAAGAACAAGGCGCATCACACAGGTGATCAGCGCATCAACTGTGGTGTTCTTGGGCAAAAAGACGGTGTATTGCTATGTCAAAGGTGTAAAAGAGGAGCACTCCTCCGCACATTCTGGCTGCAGAAGCCATTTCATTCCCATGTTGTCGGAAAGAGACGATGGTTTTCGGAGCCAAGACCAATCGCACCAGTGTTCATGCAAAAGGGATAATCACAGTGCACCAACAAAGTTTCCCGCTTCACCACAGAGGTGGAAAAGCAATCCACAATGTGGAAGAGCATGTGGTCTTCTCAGCCAAGAGATCTGTACCATTGTGGAGGAAGTCAGCAACATGAACCATGGTGTGAACAATGACATTAATATCCCAGAGATGTCGCATAAGCCCACGTGCTGCTCCAGCCCCGAATGTTCAGTCCTTCCATGAGCGAGTCACTAGTTTTCAACACTGCACCAGGTGAGTTATGAACTGCCCACTGTACAGTCAAACTTCACCAACTCTTCAGTCAGAGTAAACTCACCGGAGAAGACAAGGAAGTGATGTTCACAGAGGGAGGGGGGGGGGGGGGGGGGAGGGCCTAAGCGGGTAGCGGTGGTGTGACCAAGTGTGACTCAGGATGATAGAAATGGAGCAAATATAGAGGGGCAAGTGAATACCCAGCCCATTTGGGCGAAACTGTTAGCAAACAGCTCAGTCCTGATGGACCCAGACGAATACTCCTTTTTGAAAGGAAAAAAAGAAAAGCTGTTTGCAAACAGCTCAGCCCAGCTGGCAGTGGCTGATCCGCAAACAACCAAGGCTGCAGTGTTCATTGTCATGAGGCTCTAATGCTCATCAGCCCGAGGACGACCGTAGGACCGAGGGATATCTTCTATGACACACAATTGATCATATGTGATACTCAATGCGATCACCTATGATACACATTGAGAATGCACTCAGGGGTTGACTGGAGTCGACTGGCTCGAGACGAGCACAGCTGCAGGAGACACTGGGGCTTTCATAAGCGGTGGAGTTAGTATGTGAAAGACTTTTGTGAAGGACCACAGTCCGGGGAAACGAGAGTAACCAACTGCACCCAACAACAGCAGGAGAGGAAATGAGGGTGCATTCCACAGTGACCCATGGTGGAGTAAGAGGGTGTCAAAGACATGTACACGAGGAGGGAGAGGCGTACATCTGTGGAAAGGAGTAGACTTGTAAAACAGAGCAACTTGGAAAGTGAAAGCAACTTGCAAAGTGAAAGCAACCTGCAATGCGAAAGCAACTTGCAAAACAGAACAACTTGCAAAGCGAAAGCAACTGGCAAAGCGAAAGCAACTGGCAAAGCGAAAGAGCAGGAAGGGATCTTTCTTAAATCACCAGCACTTCCTAAAGTAGTGCCCATTCACAAGCCACAATTTTAGGAAACGTACGGGTCACTACAGGAGCGCCCAAATCCATCCGACTAGAAACCTTTCTACTCTATTTTTTTTCCGCCGCCGTTACCTGGGCCATGTACTGGTGGTTTAACGTCTTTTATTGGCCCAGCGGGAGACATCCAGGAGGCACGCAGTGTTTACATTGGCTTGGCTTTATTAAACCGCCAATACACGGCCCCAGCATTGCTGAAGAAGGGTCAAAATCCCCAGGCCAAAAGAGGCCAGGTCGGCCTGTGTCAGAAAGGTTGCATCGGGTACCCCAGAAGTCAAGTCCAACAGGTACCCAGTCAACAGTCACATCCAAGAGGCAAAATGTCACGTCTCACAGTCAAAAGTCATGTCCCACAGGCAAAATGTCACGTCTCACAGTCAAAAGTCATGTCCCACAGGCAAGAGTCACATCGCACAGTCAAAAGTCATATTCCACAAGCAAGGGTCCCAACCAACAGGCACAGGTCACGTCCCACAGACCCAAAGCAGCAGCAGCACACCAAGGAAAACCTATGAAGGTACCGAACCTCAACATTCTGACGCAAACAGGGCGCCGGTAGAAGCAAACGGGGCGCTGGCAGCGGGTACCGGGTCCAAGTCAAGCCAAGAGAAGCAGAGGCTGGGACGAGTCAAGGCTCAGTCCAAGTCAATATAAGGACTGGCCAGCCTCATTTCGGACAGATTGCTCATCCGCAAGAAGTGTGGAAGTGCTGCTACTGATTGTGCGCTATCTGCTAGTGGCTAGCGCTGGAGCCCTGGCTGGGCAGCACTGTGCTGAGGAAGGAAGGCGGCCATAGCCGCACGGTTAGTAGAAGGAGGTGGAGCTGAGTAGTAGCGGACGTATCCAGAGTCAAGATCTTCAAGTAGAGAGAGAGAGAGAGGGAGGGAGACAGAGTGAGCGCATGCATGAAGTAGGGAAAGAGAGGGAGAGAGAGGGAGACAGAGGGGCAGACAGAGAGAGAGAGAGAGTCACCTACCTTGGATGAGGATGCTGGATATGGGTTGCTGAACTCTGCGCTGATGAGCGCTGATGACTCGCACTCTGAAAACTGCTTAATATGATCGTTGGAATTTCTAAGCTGCTTTTATCCGAACTTTGCATCTCTGGTCTCCAGTGTGGATTTCGTGTGATCTGTGTGTGTGTGTGTGTGTGTGTGTGTGTATGTGTGTGTGTGTGTGTGTGTGTGTGCTCAAGGTGACAAGTGTGGTTCAATGCAGAACTCTCAGAACAAGTTTTTTTTAGAAAAAATCGACACAATGTCTAGGAGCAAAGTGGCATGACACTCAAGCAAGGTATAAAGTCTAGACGAGGGAATTGAGATTCGTGGTTCACTTCGAGGCAGGTATAGATAAGACTATACAAATGCATGGAAAGGTGAAATAAGTACCAGCTCTCAGAACAAATTACTCGAATTTACCCAACGAGTAGTCCCTTCATGAACCACACGTACAAATATGGCTTCCATTCATTTGAAAATTGACAGCCCATACGTATAGTATATCTAGGGGACTACACAAATAAGTAGTACATATCTAGAGGACTATACACCTTCGTAGCACATATTGAGAGAACTATACACGTGTATAGTACATATCTTGGGGGCTTAAAAAATGTATAGTATGTATCTAGGGTTTTATACACATTTTCAGTCTACATGCAGGGGACTATACACATGTATAGCATGTCTCTAGGGGGCTATACACATATCTAAAGTATATATCGTGGGGACTATACACATGTATAGCATGTATGAATTCCAGAAGAAGTGGGACATTTGCAACAAATTGGGAACAAAAGAGGGGAAAGTTGTCCTTTGGGACATCCGTTAAAATTGGAACGATACAGAGACTGAAGATTAGCATGGCCCATGCGCAAGGATGACACGCATAAATCGAGAAATGGTCCAAATTATAAWAAAAAAAAAAAAAAAAGGGGGAAAGCTCGGAAACACATTAATCTGCTGTCACTGTTATTCTGGGAGAGCTGATTTCGAAATTAACTACCCCTTGAAAGGTATGAAGGGGTAGTTAATTTCTCGGCCTTTTGGCTAAGATCAAGTGTAGTATCTGTTCTCATCAGTTTAATATCTGATCTGTGGTCCATCGGGCCACATAAACAAAACAAAAAAAAACAAAACCTACCCCTTGAGAGCATACTTACCGCTACTGTGGCGTAGTCGATGACACGGGTGGCACCAGCCGCCTTCACGCGCTCCATGCTTCTCATGCCACAAGTGCAGGCCACATCAGCACCTGCGGCACTTGCCAGCTGGATGGCAGACAAGCCAACTGCTCCTCCACCTCCCAGAACCGCCAGCCGCTGCCTGGCGTTGAACACATGCACGCCCCATTGCACGATGCATCGGATTCCCAATCTGTTGGACTTCCACATACCACTCTATACATTTGCATGCCCCACCATCTCCCATCTGCAAGATTGAAAACAGTCAAAACAGACTCAAGCAGTTGGACCTCAATCCAACCCCCCATGTCTCCAATTCAAATCCTGTCGATCTTACACCTGTCCTCATTTCTCTCTCTCTCTCTCTCTCTCTCTCTCTCTCTCTCTCTCTCTCTCTCTCTCTCTCTCTCTCTCTCTCTCTC